TTGTTTTGGTACAAACCAAGGGGCGTTACCTCGTTCCGTCTTATTCCCACATGTGAAATTGCCTGTCAAGCTGCCTTGCGATGACGTCCTCTAGGCATACACGTCCAAAACCCCAATCCCAAACTCTCTCGCTCCCATGTTTGCTGCTGGAGACGAACCAAAGACAAAGAGTCATCTGGCCACTCCTGCAAGTGGAGCTCTGTGCTGCACAGCACACACAGCCGGAGAGGGCGTCTGAGCCTGACTCTGTGCTGCAGAATGCCGTAACTGACATGCTGAAGTCTAAATCTGACTAAATCGTGTGATAATAGCCAAAGTCAAAGATGACACGGATCCATCCAGAGTCCTTAACACTGAAAATCAATCCTAAATCTATTTATTGAGGTCAGTTTGATTTACTTTTTCAATCATGAGTCACGTTCTACTCTTTGACTTGTATATTCAGTGAATAATCGAAGAATCACTGTAACACCACTGTGGTTTGGTTTTTGGTCAGTTGTTTAGCTTGAGGAAAACTGCAGCTGTTTCTTTTTTACCAATAAATATAAAAATACATAGAAAAACTAATATCAAGCTATCAAATTTTTAGATCACACTATTGGTTGGTTCTCTAACTATCTCTCAGATATGAGGCAATGTAGTCAACATAATTGTACTTCTGTTAACAATGGTGTACCACAAGGTTCAGTCTTAGGACCCACCCTCTTCACAATCTACATAAGTAATGTCATTCCTGATGCATCCTTACATTTCTATGCCGATGACACAGTTGTTTATTGTCAAGCTAGAACAGTTGCTAAAGTTTTCCAGCTTTTACAGTTTGCTTTTGACATCCAGTCAGATTTGTTCCATCTCAAACTTGTGCTAAATGCTGTTAAAACCAAAGGGATGTTGTTTTCAAGCAGAATTTCGACACCAGCAGTTCTTCCTTCTATTTTATTTTCGAATGGTGTCCCTATTGAGTTTGTCGATTCCTACAAATACTTGGGTATTTTGGTCGAGTCGCATCTCTCTTTTAAGCCTCATGTTGAAAGCTTGGTGCAGAAACTGAAAAGTACTTTACTGAAAGTAAAACTGGCTTTCTTTTTCAGAAATAGATCCTGTCTAACTCTGAACGCTAGGAAACACCTTGTAACTGTTACTTTCCTTCCCTCCATTGACTACGGTGGCATCATTTACATGAACGCTCCTACAAGCACCCTGAAGATGTTGGATGCTGCTGATCACGATGCGCTAAGATTCATAACTGGCTGTAACTACTGTACCCATCACTGCACCCTGTATTCACTGGTTAACTGGACATCATTAACTTCACACAGACTCTCTGACTGGTACATTTTCATCTTTAAATCACTTCACTTCACTCTTTGCTTGTTTGCTTTGTTATCCCTCATTTTGAATGAGGAGCTGGATGTTTCTCTTTAATGGCTTTGAAGGGAATCGGATTTGAATGGCCTCCGATGTGTTGCCATGTAGCAAATATTATAAGTCATCGCAGTTACAATGAACGAGCAGAGAAATCAGTCAGAGGGACTGATGACATCTAATCAACCGTCCTCCTAATAATGTTTTTTTTCTTCCTTTTACTAGTTGAAGGATGAGTTTCTGCAGCGTTCATCCCAAAGCTTCAAATAGTCGCATTAAAGATTAATTATGAAAACGAAATGAACAAGTGATGAAGATGTTCAAAACACTGCATGTTGGTGAGTTTACTGCAGTCTGACTGATGATTAAATGAATAATAAAGAAAGGGAGCGGGCGCTGCGGCTTCATTTGATGAAGACTATAAAAGATATGAGACTTTAAAATAGATGATGCTGTTGTTGTAGACAGTTCATGTAAAAATAATCCACTTTGTACGTCCCCTGTTCTATAAAAGTTGAGATGTTGAGTAAAATGTATACAAAAAAAACAATGCTTTTCTCCTTTTTTGAAAAATAAAAACTTTTTTAAATTTTTTTATTATTATTTTAAGGCAGCAACACATCTCAAAGCAGTTGGGACAAGCCCATGTGAAGCATCACCTCTTCTTTAACCAACAGTTTGTAAACTGAGGAGACCGGCTGGTGAAGTTTTGGAGAACGTCGTCCCATTCTTCTCTGATATTCTAACCGTTTAGCAGTTCTGGGTTTTCTTTGCTGGATTTTTTTTTTTTTTTTTTTTTTTTGCAGCATATGTGCTGCATAGCTGCTTTCCAGATGTGTAAGATAACCAGGCCAGAGGCACTAATGCACCCCCATACAATCAGAGAAGCAGACTTTTGAACTGCACTGATAATAAGCCGCATGTGGCTTTTTTGTTGTTGTGGTAAAAATTAAAAATATATATCACATTTCTGTTGGTCTCACCACAAACTTGTTCTCCAATTCGCCTCAGTCCAGCTGTGGACCAGAGAAGACGTTGGCACTTCTGACCCATGTTCACACATGGCTTCTTCTTTGAATGATAAAGCTGTAAGTAGGCATTCATTAATGATACAGTAAACAGTGTTTACAAACAGTGATTTTTAAAAATGGTCCTGAGCTCATGCAGTGATGTTCTTAACTAAATCAGCTCTGTTTTTAACGCCGTGCCGCCTGAGGCCCTGAACGTCACAGTCATCCAACATGAACTTTAGACTTGCCCTTCTTGAAATCTTTTGATCATATTATGAAGTGTAGATAATGAGATATTAAGTCTTCCTTTTTTTTTAAATGAAGAACATTATTATTTTATCGATGCAGTCTTTGCAGAGCGTCAAACCCCTCCCCATCTTTACATGGGACAGATTCAGCCACTCTAAAATGCTCGTTTTAATCCCAGTCCTCTTAATGACCAGTTAATTTAATTAGCTGCAAAATGCTCCCCCAGCTGTTTCTTTAACTGTGCCACTTACGTTAACAGTAACTGTCCTGTTTATGTTTAATGCGTTGCTGCCATAAAATTCAAAAACACTTTTATTTTGTTTTCAAGGTTCCACTGTGAAAAAAATATGAGTTGATGAGATTTGCCAATCGTTTTGTTTATCATCCCAACGTCTTCAACAATGGGGATGAGTTTTGAAAGAGAATTTGTGAAGAGAAGCAATTGAGTAAATTATCAGAGCTGCAGCTAATCCTTTGCTGCTGCTGGCACTGCCCCCCCCC